CCCTCCCAACCCCGTTCCCCGACCCTCCCTATCCCCCATACCCCGCCAACCCCAGTGCCCCGACCCCTCCCAACCCTCCCAACCCCTATTCCCCGACCCTCCCTAACCCCCATACCCCGCCAACTCCCGTGCCACGACCCTCCCAACCCTTCCAGCCCCAATTCCCCGACCCTCCCTATCCATACACACCTTGTAGCGATGTATGACGTACGTCCCTCGACTCGAAAAGCTCCAGGCCACGCTCTGGAGGGTAGTGGGTGCAGTCGGAGGCCAAGGACAACGTTAGGCTAAGCTTCAAATATGCATGTTCTAATGCACTGTTTTTAGCACTCATCTGGGGCGTTGCTTCGCTGCAATAGCCCATTCTTTCCCCCCGTGTGTACTCCCTAAAACCCTAAAACCCTAAGGTTTCTGCATCGGCCTGTTGTGGTAACATGCCTGGCAGACGGGCAGGCTCGTGTTAAGCTGGGCAACTTCGCTGGACTGTCATCTAAGATCGGTGCCTGTTGCTGGTGCTGGTGGGAGGGCATTTATGTCCACGGTGAAGGCAGGCAGGGTGGTGCTGTCAGGCATATGGGCTATGCAATGCCTCAGCCGCAGAGTGCGAAATCACAGTAAGTTTAGTCTCGTCGACGTAAGATTAGTGTAAGTGATTGCTGATTCTTGGATCTTACTGTAGGTATCTCAACCAGGAGGAGGAAGACACCCTCATGTTTGTGGGCGACCCCCGGCTGAAGCTTACCCACCAAGACCATGAAAACCGTGCCAAAGACGCCTTGGATATTCTAGCTGACAAGCAAACCCCTGATGCCCACCGAAAGGAAGCGCTGAAGGTAGTGGGCTGCAAAGGCCCATCGGTATTTGCCAATCTCCTTAGTGAGTGCTTGAGGGCCAGCAGGACACATAAATGATGCTTAAAGAGACTCAAATACTCGTTGATGCCATGTGTGTATCCTGCCACAATTGCACTCCCAAATTGCTTAAAATGGTTGCCGTCCACACAGGCGTGGATCTCCAGGACGTCTTCTTGGTGCCTGTCGCGCACGCACTGCTGTTGGGTGTAGTAAAGACCCTGTTGGCGCAGCTCTTTCGCAACCCCAAGGATGCCATGGGGCGGCCCGTTGCCATCAGTCACGAGCACCGGCGCCTTATGA